TACCACAGTCCACGCACTCCTCCCTGACAGGTTACTAGGGAGGGGTTCCCGAGTGAGTATAAACAAGTTTGAGCCGCCTTCCTCTGTGAGCCCGTATACCAGTTCTGGGAGTTTCTCTAGGGCGTTTTCTGAAGTTCCCCACCCCCTCTACACTCTTCCTATACTGTCTCACACACACACACTCCTCTCGGCCTAAAAAGGGTTCAAAAAGGGAATGACACTGCTTTTCCCAGCATTGTATGAACAGGCGCATTCATAGGACAGGGGGAGGAGACAAATAGCTTTTCTGATCAGGTGAGAGGGCAGGTGAGTCTCTCTTCAGCGGCCCTGCAGCTCCATCTAACGGTGGGAACAAGACACAGACACTGTTCTCTAATGTTAAAGGAACATTTCACCCAAAAATTGTTATTCTGTCATTTACCAGTATGAATTTGGCACACAGAAAGAGAAGATTAGCAGCATGTACGCTGCTCTTTGTCATTAAAAGTTGTTGGGCACCAAAAATCATAAGCTGAAATACTAAACACTAAACGTTTTTGGAGCGATTCATTTTATTACAATTAACAAAGATCAAACTGACAGTAACTACAAAATAAATTAAAAAGAAACTGTAACACTTTACAATAAGGTTCATTAGTTATTAAGTAACTAAGAATGAACAACACTTCAGCATTTGTTAATCTTTGTTAATGTTAAAATCTTGCTAACATTAGTGCACTGTGAACTAACATGAACAAACAATGAAACGTTAACAAAGATGAACAAAAACAGTAACAAACAGTATTGCTCATGGTTAGTTCATGTTAGTTAAAGGGTTAGTTCACCCAAAAATGAAAATTAAGTCATTAATTACTCACCCCCATGCTGTACCAACCCCGTAAGACCTTCGTTCATCTTCGGAACACAAATAAAGATATTTTTGATTGAATCTGAGAGCTGGATGACTCTTCCATAGACAGCCTGAGGGACTGCCTCTTGACGGCCCAGAAAGTCATTAAAAGAAAAGGTTTAAATATTCCATGTGCCTACAGTGGCTCAACTATAACTTTATCAAGCGACGAGACTACTTTTTGTGCGAAAAAAAAACGTAAATAACGACTTTATTCGACTTTCCATTACTTCCTTTTGGGCGCATGCGCGAGAACTGAGACGAGACCGTTCTTCTTCGACTACTTTTTGTTACCGGCTGCTCACCGCTTAGGAGTTTTACCGCCCCCTACCGTATAAGATGACGTACTGATATAGCCGGAGGCGCAAAACGTTCTGTTTACAAGCAGTACGTCATCTTATACGGTAGGGGGCGGTAAAACTCCTAAGCGATGAGCAGCCGGTAACAAAAAGTAGTCGAAGAAGAACGGTCTCGTCTCAGTTCTCGCGCATGCGCCCATAAGGAAGTAATGGAAAGTCGAATAAAGTCGTTATTTACGTTTTTTTTTCGCAGAAAAAGTAGTCTCGTCACTTGATAAAGTTATAGTTGAGCCACTGTAGGAACATGGAATATTTAAACCTTTTCTTTTAATGACTTTCTGGGCCGTCAAGAGGCAGTCCCTCAGGCTGTCTATGGAAAAGTGATCCAGCCCTCAGATTCAATCAAAAATATCTTTATTTGTGTTCCGAAGATGAACGAAGGTCTTACGGGGTTGGTACAGCATGGGGGTGAGTAATTAATGACTTAATTTTCATTTTTGGGTGAACTAACTCTTTAATACATTAAAGGGGTCATGAACTGGCTTTTTAAATTTTATCATATTGTTGTCTGAGGTCAACTTATGACGTTCGCTTGGTTTTTGCATTCAAAAACATTAAAATGAATAAGTAATAGGCTATTTTCTACCCTAGTTTTGAGCCTAGCTGAAAAACGCTTGGTTTTTATGGGCGTCTCGCCCTTAAGATTTGGAAGTAAACGCCCACTCCTGTGAGTGGAAAACAGTTTTGCATATTATAATGAGTTTCAACTCATTCGTCGGTGTACGTGGGGGAAATTGTTCTGAAAACGTCCAATGTTGTAAAATGGCAACCGGAATGATTTGCCCATACATGTTCGACCCAGAGTCTGTGTGTTGCACCATTCCTGTCAGATCCAATATAGACGGCACAGCACTGTTCTTTACTCTTAATCGATCTGCAAATCCAGTCTTGTTTACAAAACAATCCTCAGTGAAATGTAGCGAACAAACAGACAATGTTTTACCCTCATCTGCTGGAACGTCATTAAAAATAAAGTTTAACCATCCAGTCCTATTGGAATCCAGAAGCATATGCAGCCACTGTCTCCTTCCACAACCAGGCACTGCACAATATTCTCTATTGCTCGGTAGCTCGATCTGGTTTGTCATCACGAGGGAGGAATCTATTTAGCTATGCGTGTAATGCGCGAATCAGTGGGTGGGGCTAAACCAGCCGTGTTTAAGAAGGTGTTGATCTTCTCCTGCGGGGGGTGGTGTTTTATCCTCTTTGAAGTCATAGTTCCCCACTTTGAAAAACGAGTCGTTTGCAGAGTCTGGTGTCAATAAAAGCTTTTATTGGACCAACAAGGGCATTTTCAGTTCTGAAACTTACAGGATATTCATATAATATGATGACCTATTATATTTGATTTCTCAGTTCATCACCCCTTTAACTAATGTTTAATAAACGAACCTTATTGTAAAGTGTTACCAAATGAACCATATGGGCTACTTTTAGAATCCAAAATTAGCTGATAATTCAAATAAAATAAAATTAAATATGTTTTTGATCCTTTTATAGTGCTTTTTAGTCATTTACAGAGCTGTTCACTTTTATTGAATAGGAAAGAGCATGCAGGAACTTCAGTGTGATACCACACCTTATAATTTTGATCGCTGCCGCAACATCAGTGTTTATATCCGGACTATAAACTTTTACTTTTGTATATAAACTGTACTTGTGTTATTATTGGATGTTTGCAACATAGAAAGACCGCGTAGCTGAAAACACTGTTTGTGAAGCTGACACCCCACCCCGTTTCGGCAATCCATCATATTTTTCCATCCCCATCCCATAATTCCATGCAGCAGACTTCATGCAGGGATCTGTGGGACGTATTGTCAGATAAAGGGCTGGATGAGTGTCCCCTGTCTCACAGAGCTAATGGAGTCACCGGCAGATAGAGGCCTACTCTCAGTCCCAGTGCAGTGCACAGGCTTCAACCTATTACTGAGTGGCAGTCTTACACACAGCTGGGCAAGAGGACTCAATGAATCTTAGGGTCTTAACACTGACTCATCTTTCCTTTTATCACTCTCTCTTAAAGACCAGAATGCTGGTACTGAGTTCAGAGTGCCTGCTGGGGAAAGTATAACCAGTTTGCACACAAACAACTCAATGTGATAATATAAAACATACACTGTTTGTGTAATGAATGAGTGACTGCCTTAATATATAACACAGGATGTGCCCAAGTCTGTTGCCCGTTGATTAAATGTACGTGTCCATCAGGGAAAGCTCAACCACTGAGTCTTTCTCTCAAGTTGTTGTGTTGCAAATAAGTGAGCTTGTATGAGCACACGAGGCTGAAAGTAATGAATTTAGTACATTAAAGAGCTCTAATATGGCAGCCTGCTTCCTTTTATTTCTCTACTGCATAGATACAGTTGCCTGGCAGACCGAGCGTTATCTTTCAAAACAATTTAAGGCTCGGCTGGGAGTAATGAAGTACTGACAGCAAGCACAACATCAATAATGCTTTTCACACAGGGTGAAACGAGCAACAAGAGAGAAAAGAATAGAAACAGAAAAAAGAGTAAAATCCAAAGAGTGGGAAAGAATAAGATAGAATGGAACAGCTCTTACCAAAAACCTGTGACAGTACCATGGTATAGCAATGGCATAAGAAAATACCATGATACTTCGATATATACATGAAGAGTTCAGATGCAAAAGCCTCTAAATGCCATTTGAAATTTTCTTCTTTAATGATGATTTTTATCAAACTTGTATATTTAAGTTCAGTAATTTCACTTAAATGGCAATGATAATTACCTATTAATTGTTATTTAAGGAGCAATTGTTATATAAATGGCAATGATAATTACCTATTAATTGTTATTTAAGTGAAATTACTGAACTTAAATATACAAGTTTGATAAAAATCATCATTAAAGAAGAAAATTTCAAATAGAGACTTTTGCATCTGAACTCTTCACATATACCATGGCATGGTATGTTGGTACTGTATATGACCAGATTTAATGCCAATATAAATACAATACTTACATGAAAACAGCAGTTATCTATTTATTAATATAAACAGAAATGAACAGCAAAACCAAAATAAAGAAAAAAGAACAGAAATGAACAAAACTGAACAAAAAGAATAGAATAAAATAAAACAATAGACTGTACATACTAATACAAATAAGTATGTATATTACTAGTATAAAGCACAAACAAACCCATGCTGCGGGTGCTTTCAATACATTAGCATTCAGTGTTCGCCATCAGCCTGAGTGAAGTCGAAAATTATTCCTGCTACTAGTTAAAATGAAGACTCTCTATCATCCTAAGAGGGTAGTTTGGCTTCTTTGTGATGCTGGCTTTGATAAAGACATAAAGATTATGATTTAGGAGGACAGCACTCGGAGGAAAGGCAATAGAGAGTAACGGGCGTCATTATGTGTGGAAAATGGGATGTCTAGAATAAGACTTAGAGATTCTTTTCAATTTCCAGTTTAATCAATACACTTCATAATGACGCCTCCCCACAGCGGGTGACATTTTACGAATCAAACAAAGCTTTTTTGTCTTCTTACAAGATGACTCTCTCGCAATTTGTAGAAGTGCGTTTCTTTAGTCGCATACGCTTTTCTCCTCGCAAATACATGAGCGGGGAGAGGGTGAAAATCCACAGGACAATGGGTTTGTTTTATTGCCATTCAGCGTTGTGATGAATTACCCGAGCGCCGCATGTTCACACCCTGAGGAAAATTACTACTTGGTATGATCGCAATATTGTGCTTATGCATATTTGGACATCTTACCCTTGTCAAGTGAAGAATCTGGAGTGCCGAAGTCCATCAAGCTCGACATGCCTGTCTGGAAAGCGAGATCAGAAACCTTCTGCCGGTGGTGGACCGAAGGCTCTGCAAGACAGAAAAACAAAAGGATTTGAGCTTGTTCACGTTCGAGCTAACCGAGAGGTTTGACATTTTCGCCTTTGTAAGTGGCAAAGGGTGGCAAATTGCAGGCCTCCTACAAGTAAAGCATGAGGAGTGTGTCGGAGCGACTCACAGAGCATCTCGCAGCTATTACTGCTCATCTGTAATTAACTCTGAAACAGTGACACGCACCACGCAAAACCTCCACATCCACTGAATAGCTTTTAAAGACAAATAATCATCCTCCGTCCACGGCCCACGCCGTAACCGTAATCAATGCGCATTGAAAGTGACAGGTAGCAATTTATTGTACAGTGCAACGGACAACACACCGAATCACGATTTTCCCTGGGATCTGAAAAGGAAGAGGGGAAAAAAGCTAACAATGTTCGTTTGATGAGGACGAGAGAGTGCTGAGATTCACAACCACCATCAATCATCTTCCTCCGCGCGGTAACATCGCAAGGTTTTCAGAAGCCACAAGGGATTTCTGTGTACCCATGTGGAAGGAACAAGGGCGGCGTACCAATCTTTCAAAAGACTATATCATGGCTCTTTTGTCATCACACACCTTACACCACCTGACGCCGACATGGATTGCCGGTATGTCACTTCAGTGAGGAATTGTGTGTCAATTACCACAGACATTGACAGGAGATATGAAATGGTGCTATTTTCCACATTATTGTGTCAGACAGCGTTCATTCTTCGCCATTCCCTTTAACAGATACCATCTCAGCACTGCCTGTTCTTTCTTCCCCTCCCTCTCGTGACTCAGACTTCACAGCCGGCTGCACACCTGAACTGACGCTGCTAATTGAAGTGTCTTCAAGTGCCCTTTTCTCTGTCTCTGTATCTGTTCTTGTTACCTGCTTACACTTACAAAGCCCCTAATGTGACTTATTCTGTTCTCAGACATGTTACACTGCAAATCCTTTTTTCCCCCATCCTTTCTAAATGCTGGTCCTCGTCCTACAGTGCATTTTACTAGCTAGAGCCTTCAAACATTTTAAGCCAAAGGACCCCCTGTTGCACAATGTATAAAAACCTCGCGGGCAACTGCTCCGACATGTAGTGCCGTTGTGCTTTGGGCGACCTGGACCAAATTCCAAGTTTGTAATTATTATTAATATCATTAATTATTATTGTAAAAATGTATTATTATTTTATACATTATTATTGTAAAGATTCTGTTTGTGGATGTTATATTCCACGTGTGTTTAGAGTTTTGTTTTCATTGTTCTGTGCACGTTAGTGTACTTTGCACATGTTGGTTGTGCTCATTAACTTCTCTCAATCTCTAGCTCAGTCTCTTTGCTCACAGGTTGCTGTGATTGGCCGATCATTAAAGTGGCGCTTGAAAGCCAATCGGAGGCCGCCCAGCTGGTTTTAAAAGGACGGTGTGTTCATTCATGCTCTCTCTCTGTAGTGAACTGAGTTTCCGGAAGTGAACCAAGTTCAAGAGATTTCTTTCAACGTCTTCATTTCAGTTCTCGCGCGTGTGTCGTGGAAATCTCTCGAACTCTTATCTGAGCCACTTGAGCCACTGTTGTCACATGGAATATTTAAACATTTTCTTCATTGACTTTCTGGGCCGTCAAATTTCGATCCCTTAGGCAGCCTATGTAGCAGTGATCAACCTCTCAAATTTAATCAAAAATATCTTAATTTGTGTTCCAAAGACGAATGAAGGTCTTACGAGGTTGGTACAGCATGGGGGGGAGTAATTAATGACTTAATTTTCATTTTTGGGTGAACTAACCCTTTAAAGTAATGCCATGGACCCCCCTACCCAGATAGCAAACTGACATTGAATCAACGTGGAAACATGACATCGAAACAACATTGATCTGACATTGTTTTGCTCATCGAATTAACGTTGAACCAACATCAGACGCGTCATTCTTTCAAAACTAACAGAAAATCAGCTTGAAATCAACGTTGTTTCAACGCTATGAAAGCAAATCAATTTTCGATTTTCATTTAGCTTTGAAGAATGCCGCGTCTGACGTTGGTTCAACGTTAATTCGATGAGCAAAATCAACGTTGTTTCAATGTCATGAGAGACTTCGTTTCCACGTTGATTCAATGTCAGTTTGCTGTCTGGGTAGGGTTTGCAGACCAACTGTTGAAGATCCCTGAGATATAGGAAAAGCGTCAGGAATTAGGAAACTAATATAGTTTTAAAAAATATTTCATCAGTTATAAAATATTCATTGTGGTTACACTCTCTAAAAATGACTTTTTAAAAATAGACTGGAATGACATGGAACAACTAGAAAAGTTTGTTTAAAAAGCCAAGAGGGGTCCATTTTCAGTCTGGCTGAGTCAATATCCCTGTTGCGTAATGGCATCGTTTTCAGTAGTGGTTCAATGGTGATGAATGACTGAATTCACATTTCTGCTTTTTATGTCTGCCCAGTTCTACAGATGCTTCTTGGTTACAAGGTATTGATTGAAAACCTTCATTAAGGACCGAAAATATCCTGTATCTAAGAGTGCTCTTCACAAATCTGTGCTCTGCTGGGTTACTAATGGCATGACAAAGCCAGCCAGTTGAACCATTTAATGGATATTGAGGATATTGAAATGGCCAGTCATTTACATTTTTGTATATATTAAGACGAATTTGTAAAGTGCAGCACATTATTCAAGGCTTAATCTTTTGGTGCACTGAGGCAGTTTAATAAATGGCAAAAAAATGAACAATCATTACTATAATAGCTACCTGTTTAAGTAGAAATAAAGAAAAATTGGGCAATGGTGCACAGAGAGGTTTACTGACCCCTAACCTAATGTTCTCAGTATAATGTATATCTGTATTGACTGAAGCACCTTATGGATGTGATCTGGTTAAATTACACTGTGTTTGACCAACTTCAGTAAGTTGATCTTCCTTTCTGTCTCACTGAACGTTTAAGAAATTACTCATAACAATGAAAAGGTCCCAGGATATAGAAGCTGTCAAACCTTTCTTTAAGAAAACAACAACAACAACCACCCTATGGTTTGTATAGCAGGTTCCACTGACACTCAAACATATTTCTCTTTCACATTACCTTTGAGCACATCCTATGGCAGAAGTGAAAACCATCCATACAAATGTGTTTAATGGACCTTAGTCACTGGGTAGACGCCATATTTCACTTGATGTGAATGAAAACTGAGGCTGTGCGGGATACAAGTACAGTCCAATCAATACTGTAGGTTGTACTGTCTTTCGATTTTAGGTCATGTATAATTTTTTTAAACAAACTAAAAATTAGAAATAAAAACTTACTAAAATAAAATAAATGCAAGAATATAAAGACTATTTACAGTGTTTCAATGAATACAAGAATAATAATCTCATTAATATTACCGCATCCACCCAGATTAAAGTCTTTCCTATTTCCATCTTCCCTCAGATTCAACTTGCTAAACCCATCAGGACTAACTCATTTGAGGGATTTTTAATGGAGCTATTGAAGGCTCTTTGGACGCAACCCTGTTGAGATAGTTCATTTCTGAAAGATGTCTGTCGCAAAGAGCAAATAAAAGGACTATTTAGAAAAAGGCTTTATAGGGTTCATTTTTTCCTTTTACACCACCAAAGTGCCATCCTCGTGTTGCCTTTGGACGATTTAGAGAGTCATTATCATTTAACTTTCACACAGTCCAGACATTTCTGAATATCAAGACTGCTTACCCAAGCTATAATTCTATTTGAATATAGGATCATTAGGTTAAAAACTATTGTTCTGCCCTTTCTTATCCCATTAGTGCCACAAAGGCAACCAAACATAACAAACATATCAACTAAAGTGAGGTAATACAGTTTGGCCTCCTGCATACTAGATATAAAGCTTTTATCAAGAGGTCAAAGGTTATGAAAATAATGAAGAGATGCAATAAGAGTCTGCTGACACAAATAGCTGTGCAGGAGTGAATACATGAACTTAAAGACTGTTTTGGAGGAAAATATGGCTGGAGGGCTTTGCTATGTGTTTGCTAGGTTGTTCTGATTGGTTACTATGCAGTAGCAAGAGTTGTATGGGTGGTTGCCCACAATTCTCTATCCCTACTGAAAAAAAAAACATCTTAAACCAGTCTAAGCTGTTTTTTTCAGCTAGTTTCCCACTTAAACTATTTAAATATATGCTTGGCCCCGCTGAAAGACCACATTAAGCAAAAAAAAAAAAAAGTCTTGGCTGGTTTTAGATGGGTTCAGGGGACTCTTTAGTTAGTTGCCCATATAAACCAAGTAAATACATAATTGGCCATGCTGAAAAAACAGCTTACGATGGTTTAAGCATCTAAGTCTAAGCTGGTTTTCTGATCTGGTCTGTTGGCTTGTTTCACTCAGATTTTGGGCACTTTTCAGCTAGTTGCCCAGCAAAAGCAGTTATATACCTGCTTGGCCAGGTGGAGAAACCATTGTTGGCTGGTTTCAGCATTTATTTTTATTTGATATCAGGAATGATATTCTGGTTCCTAGATATGTCTCGAGTCCCTCCCTCAATATTAATCTGCAACTAAAACACAATTATAGACAAATGCACAGTCTGCTGGGAGCGTTGCTATGAATACTGCTGACAAATAGCCTGGCCCCTGGCAGCTCACCTTTGTCTCTCTGGCGACAGCCAAAACCCACACATACACACTACAGAAAGGTCGATTTTTCCTGTGGGCAAGAGGTCAACCTGGCCAGACTTGGAGGCAGCATATTGTCAATCAGTGTGTCTCTAGGCGCCCCTGCACTTCCTTATTAATGCAATACCTGTCAACACAACATATCACTCAAGATATCTAGACCAGTGACATGCTGACCTGTCTTAAAATACCTGTGCAGTGGGTGGGGCTTGCGTCTGATGATGCCACAGTGTGATTTTGGTTGTGCACCATTGCACCAATTGTAAGCAAGAAGATGGATTAATTCTATTGCCGAGCTATTTGTATAAAACTAAAGCTGTAATTATCCCTTTATTTAGTTGTTTGCTGATGCT